TTGCTTGCTTGCCGCAGCGAGAGTGCTGCGCCTTAACCACCAGCCTACCAGGGACGAGATACACTAATAGACTAAGTACCCCAAATCTGTGATGAGCTCAGGTTTGCAGAATTGTATGAATGATGGAAGGAAAGAAAATATGCCTGTTCTGAATTTACTATTGTACTGTCTATTGAATTATAATCTCACACTTTCTAGCCTACAGCCCAATAACTGGTTGTATAGAGGAAAGTGAAAAATAGAAATACAGTTTAATACAAAGTAAACGGAGCAGCTATAAACCCAACTCTCAGCACCACAGGAGCATGTATGACAGTGTTAGGTTGGCCTCTCTACTGTTACTTACTGTAAAGCCTGTTTGGGGTGGCACAAATCAAAAAGCATATTAAATCACAATCATAATATTACTAAAATGTTTTAATTGCAATCTAATTATTTTCCCATATTGTGTAGCCCTGCTAAACAGAGTGAGGTCCTTGAAGAAAACCTGCTCCCAAGTGCTAACAACCTGAGAGTGGGGCAATGATTCACTGTTCAGAATGACAGTGACTGAAGACGGAAGGACACTGATGAAAGCTGGATGGCTGAAAATGCTGTCTTTTTGCAGAAAAAAAATGATCTGCCAGGAAGAATGTGATAACTTGTCCATATTCAGGTGTGCATAGACACACCCAAAAAGACATGATGCTGTATTTGCTGCTAAATTGCTTCTTCACAGTACTGAATTAAGGCTCTTGCAAATAGTTTTGCAAATGAGATCTTAGTTTTTGATTTTTAGTAATTTTCCAAAAATTTCTAAAAGGTTTCCACTTTGTCCTTAGTTACTGAGTTCAGACTTATGGGCAAGGTATCAATTTTGTCAAATTAAAATTAAATATAAAGTACAAAGGCTGTAAAAGTGAAGGGGTCTGGACCCTTGCTATCTACTAATAACAAGAGGTTTATAATGGTGAAAGTAAAACAACTATCTCATAATAAAAAAAACAGTCTTTGCTGTTGTCCCATATTGGATCAATAGGGCATGCATACTCCCCTATTGGATTAATACAGGATGCAGTTAGTCACTTTTAAATTTATTGCCCACAGTGGTGAACACATTGTAATACTGAGTAAAAGTAAAGCAGTTTAGAGAAGCGGTGAGATAAGAGGATAAAGACAGGCTCTTTCATCTTTATGCCTGTGGATCAGTCCACTGGCTGTATCCTCCTCTGTCCCTCTCCACTAGCTGTCTGTTCAGTCCTGCAGCTCTGCCACCCAGTTACCATTCATACCATTATCATCACTATCATCCCAGTAAAATCATGCCCTCTAGTGTTTAGACAGACAAAACAGTCAAGACATAGTGCTAACCACCAAATAAAGCCAACTTCAACAGCAAGACAAGACAAAGCCTCTGACCTCTGTGCTCCAGAAACACTCGAACACATCTCTCTTTTCCTTTGGCAGCAGAGAAGTGGAGGAGTGTCCAGCCGTTGGCATCACGAATCTTAGGTGAATATCCTTGCTCCAGCATTCTCCTGACAGTGCAGACATCCCCAGATGCCACTGCAGCCTGGATCTGCAGCTCCTCATGAAGCTCAGGGTTCCTTCTACAGTGATGGTTCAGCATCCTGTCACATTTCGGAATGGGAATGTTCTGAACCTAACCTCTGTTAGAAAAAATTTGTAAGTATATTCTGTATGTCTTAGGAAACTCAGTGGGTAGAAGCCGGATTCCTGGAATCTGACTCCCCTTTCAAGGGTTTGTGACCTGAATAGACAAACTCTGAAATTGTTCTACCATCAACAATAATATAAATATCATATACAGTACATGTTATTATACATAAGTGTTCTTTCTGGCTTTTCACTCCTTACCTGACTCCAAAGGAGAGCTGCACAAGAATTCCTATATGCCTAGACTGTCCGTTTATGCATAAATGGCAAATAAAAATAAAAATCTTGACTTAACATGTGTGTGCTATATCAACTTAAATTGAACATGATCTAATAATGGCAGTGAACCCCTGCACAGTGTCAGCACAAAGGGAGCTCTTTACATCTTTCAAGGATAAGGCTGTCATTTTCTACATTAATATTTTCAGCATTCCTCATACAGGAAATAATAAACAAAACACAAGGCCCTGACTTTTTTGTTTTTGTACATTTTATAACAAACTCAACATGAATCCAACACAGACAATTAAAAAAAACTGCCAGACCCAGTGGGGACACTACTGCTGGCTAGACTGGCAGCAATCATGTCGCAGACAGAATGCAATGCAGCCAGATTTAGTGACAAGTTTAAGTTTGTACCTAACGCATTTTGGTAAACAATTTGTACAGTATGTCACATTCTAATGTCCCACTGCTCTGCTACTACATAGGTGTTTCCCATATCAATGTGATTTAATTTTATCCATACCACTGGCAGAGAAGAGAGAGTAATTTATTAAATTTTGATACTGTGCCTTTTTCTCACATTGTTTTCCAATTGCTTATGTCTCCTTAATGAGAGGGTGGCATATACAATGTATATTAATACCACTTATTTGCTTATTGACCTTTAGAGCATGAGCCGAGGGCTCCACTGCCAAAATAAAAATTACTGGAGATAATGAGCACCCTTGCCTTGTAGATCTAGTTAATACAAAAGGAGAAGATATGATTCCATTTGTCTTAACACAGGCAATAGGGGTTATGCGCAACTTACTTCCGTATACTGCAAAACAGAATCATCCGTTTCCGGTTTGCTCCTAGTATGAAATATGGCACTGTTCTACTCAAGAAGTCTCCAAGAACTACCAAAGATGAAGATCACGGATGTACACCGAATATGCAGTTCGACATCTAAAACACCGGGCAGCAAGCTGGATAAGGGGTTTAAGCTATATGCTTCTTCATACATCCACGACTACGAAGGTAGAGTTATGTATCGGTTATCTTACAAACGGAGATGTAGCTAAGCTAGTTCGTAAGCTAACTAGCTAATGTTATCGATATTTACACCGAGCATCTGTCTGGTACACCAAAATAATGTAATACACTACCTGAAAGCTAATAGTAACTAAGCTTGTGTGATGGAAATGCTAAATTCGCAAACTGCTGGGCTTCTAATTTTTCACATGCCATGTCCAAGGCTGATGGTTCTGGTCTAGCATAGTCATGACACTGAAGCAGAAATCCGACGTCCATCTGTTCCTCCTCAATTTCCTCCGGCCGTTGCGTTCTCTCCCACACGCTTGGTCTACTTGCAGGCAGAGAGTAGTCATTCCAGGCAAACAACACTGGAACGGCTTCTTCTTTCAAAACCCGTCGTCCACCTTGAATTACATCTGTGGAGACGAAGTGTCTACTACATACTGTTGTCGTCCTCTTAATTACAAGATTATCACGTCGTACATTACGGATCCATATTTTTCTTAAGGTTTCATCCTTAGGGAAATGGTGAAAGCTTATGGCTGAATTGAACTTCCCTGACATCGCGCATTGAGGTACACAGCAGAAATCACTGTTTGGATGATCCCACTTCTGGTATTTGTGTCTTGAAAATGACATTATTTATTTATTTTTATCTACGAACTAATCAAATAAAACGAGCTCAAAGAACGTGTTTTGCGTTACTACTGTTGTATCACCTGCGTTCTGCGGAAAGGCGGAAGTGCGCTGACCCGTTTCCCGGTTTGGTCACGTGACGTTCCGCATAACCCCTATTGGTTTATAATAAAGTGTCTTAATCCACTACATTCATTTAATATAAAATCCATAACATGTCTACGGAGTAAAATAAGTATGGCCAATTCTGTCCGGTGCTTTTTCAGCATCCAGCAATATCATTGCTGCTGGTTCCTGAAGCAACTCTATGCATGATTTGAAAAAAGAATCTTATATTATTTGAGGCATGGCAGGGTTTTACATAACCTATATGGTCAAGATGAATCAGTGAGGGAACCACCTCTTCAAGTTGCAGTGCAATAACTAATTATTATTAAGAAAACCAAGAGGTCTGCAGTTAGTCGTTTGAATACAGTCTTTGTCAGGGCTTTAAATTGTTGATATTTTAGCTGTTCACATGCTGACAGGCATAGTCTGAGACATTATATAACATTGTAAAAAAAAAAATAAATAAAAAAAGTCAGTACTTCCAGGAAACATTTATAAAAATCCATACAAAAACAGTCTTCTCCAGGTGTCTTACCATTAGTCAGGTATGTTATAACCTCTGAACCTTCTGTAATGTATTCCTCTAATTCTTTTTTTTTTGTCTGCAATTTTAAATGATGGTAAACATATACTGTACTTCCTAGTTTTGTGAATGAAAATAGCTGTTGGTTTGCAGTGGCTGCCTACATATTAATCAGGGTCTGTGTCTGTCACAGCAATAACTATTTCATTCTGCTGATATGCTCAGACCTTATACACCTTTTGAGACATTGTGCCACTGACAGTTATTGCATTATATCTACATTTTTTTCACTGTTAAATCAAGGTTGGCAGCTCTACGCTATAGAAAGTTGCTCTCAGGCTCTGCTCTGTTCCTCTTTCATGCTCTCCTGAATAGAACCTGAATAGAATAGACTTTTTCTGCATTTCAGGGCCAGCCGGGGCCAAAAAAAACACACTCTCTTCTAAAATGACATTCCTATATAGCCTGTGCAACTACACTACAAATGCTGATACATTTTGTAGTGAAAGTATTTGGTTATTAGATTGTATTCTGATGCAATATAACATTAATTCTTGAATGAATGAAGTGCTGCATTAAGAAAACAGCTCTGAGTAACAGATGTTCTTTTACTGCCCCCCTAGGATCAGACAGGCTGTATTAGGCCCCGGTCTGGTCCTGTATTTACTATTGTACTATGCAGTCTCTATTGTAATCTCACTCTCTGTTGGCTACTAACTAGCTAAGAGAGGAACATATAAAATAGAAATTTAATTTAATAAATATAATATAAGTAGCAGCAACTTTACTGCTCAGGTTTTGTTGATACTTTGTGTTTCATTTTGACAATATACTTGCGGATGATCATATGAAAAGATGCTTCTGTGAAAAACAGTCTCGTCCAAACACTTTGTGAGCTTCTGTGCCAGGTATATTAAACAAATAAATAGGAATTTCAATCATCTTTCACTTAATCTGACTGTAGTCATTACAGTACTTGCAGTACTTTAAACATTATTAAATTATTGCCAAATGACAAACAGTTCATTAAAATTAGCAGAAAAAGTAGCTCAGCCACTTGTAGCTGAGCCACCGGCAGTTACAGTCTGGGCCAACTTTAGTAACGCAATGAATGTCACCACATACGTAGTTTTACAAATAGTCAATAGCCTGGTAAAGACATGGTCTCTGTGTGAACAGATACTTTCATAAAGTGCCTATAAAAAGTATTCACCCGCCTGATGTTTTACCCTTTTATTGATTTTATAAATCCATTTGGCTTTTCTGACAAAAAAACAAAACAAAACAAAAAACTGTCAAAGTGAAAACAGGTTTCTGTAAAGTAATCAATCAAAGTCAATAAGTAAATAAAAATATGCAATGTGAAATAAATAATTACATAAATATTAACCCCGTTTAGTAGATGCACCTTTGGCTGCAATCACAGCACTGAGTCTGTGTGGATAGGTCTCAGTCAGGCTTGCACATCTGGACACTGCAATTTTACTCCATTCTTCTTTGCGAAACTGCTCAAGCTCTGCCAGGTTGCACAGGGATCGGGCGTGAACAGCCCTTTTCAAGTCCAGCCACAAATTCTCTACTGGACTGAGGTCTGGGCTTTGACTCGGCAACTCCAGAACACTCACCATCTTTAAACCATTTCTGTGTAGCTTTCGCTGTTTGCTTCAGGTCATTGTCTTGATGGAAAATAAATCTTCTCCCAAGCTGTAGTTCTCTTGCAGATTGAATAAGATTGTCCTCTAGGATTTTACATGTGTTTTTGCAAAATCTAGTCGAGATTTAATGAGTTTTCTTCAACAGTGGCTTTCTCTTTGCCGCTCTCCCATAAAAGGTGTGACTGGTGAAGAACCTGGGCAACAGTTGTTGTATGCAGAGTCTCTCCCACCTCAGCTGCTAAAGCTTGTAACTCCTTCAGAGTGGTCATAGGTATCTTGGTGGCCTCGCTCACTAGTCTCCTTCTTGCAGTCACTCAGTTTGTGAGGATGGCCTGATCTAGTCATATTTAGACATGTGCCATAGTCCTTCCATTTCTTGATGATGGATTCAAATGAACTCCGGGGGATGTTCGGTGCCTTGTAAATGTTTTTGTATCCATCCCCTGACTTATACTTTTCACTAACTTTTTCTCTAAGTTGCTTGGAGTGTTCTTTTGTCTTCATGGTGCAATGGTAGTCAGGAATACTGATTAACCAGTGACTGGAACTTTCAGACAGGTGTCTTTATACTTGGCACACACTGCACTGTGGTGATCCCCATTTCACTAATTATGAGACTACTAGCACCAAATAGCTGGAGCTCTGTTGAATTGGGTCAGTCATTTTAAAGTTGGAGAATATTTAAGTAATCAGTTATTTCCCATTACATATTTTTATTTAGAAACCTGTTTTCACTTTGACATTAGAGGTTTTTATTTTTTTCAAAAAAGCCAAATTATATTGACCATGATTGATTTATAAAATCAATAAAAAGGTAAAACATCCAAGG